AAATTTGGCTGCATTTTTTCGTTTGCAAAGATTAGAGGAGAGCCTAAAACGGTGCATAGTAGTTCACTGGGGGGAGCCTGAAACACAGCAACGGTTCACTTCTTGGTTAGTGTTTCTCCTTTTTTGATGTGATCTGTTTATTTTATTGGACTGACAGGATTTTCTCATGTCAAAGACAAGCCCTTTTAGTAATATCCTTGTCTGGCAGCATCCAAATCCAAAACCCAGTCCCTCTGAAACTGGGTGGCCCTGTCAGTCCACGAACAATCGCATTTGCTAAAATGTTTTTTTTCCTCCCCTTGTACAATGAAACTTTGTACGTCAGGAATTGAACTATTGAGAGGAATTTGGATGTGGGAACACCGAGACATATTGAAAAATAGTTATGATAAACAATGTCTTCTTTTTATTAATAAAGGAGTAGAGAAAGCCACATTAGGAAAGCTCTTCAAAGAGACGATGTGACAGATTAAAGCATACAGAAGGCCCAAGGAATGAGTGTGGATACGGAAATATATAGCCAAGGGGTTACAAATTAATCTACACTAAGCTTTGCAACTAGTAGTATTTGTTATCACACATGCCAACTGGGTGAAGAAAGGAAGTTTGAAACGGTTTGAGTACGTGACGTAAAATAAGGATCAAAACTGAAGCAGTGGATGATCAGCGCTCCTCTGGTGCTCCTCTGGAGCTCGGTGCTGCCAGATGCTGAGCATCTGGCCCCCGACGAGCCCTCTGCGAGGAGAGGGCTGATCCCCTACGCGCTGCAGTCAGTGGGGCACACCAGCCTGGTTTCAGCTGGGTCTGGATCGGGGCTTAAGTGCACACCATAGTTCGGAAAAAAAAAAAAAAGCCTTTGTGTTTCCCTTCATACAGCAGGATAACATTCTACTGGGCTTTACCTGTCATTTGGGATAATGCGTCAAAATGCATGTAAAATATATGTAAAATATATAAAACAGCTTTTGGAAAACGTGAGAGCAGCAGTGCCTTGAATTATGAATTCTTACCAGAGCATTTCAGAAAAAAAAGGGGTACATACACAATTGTTGCTTGAAAGGATCAATTGGGCATGACTTACTGTCTTTGCTCCAGAAGAAAAGCTTTGAAATGGAAGAATCTGAACATTTCCAAACAAATTGTCTGGGGTTCAGCTGTGGTGAACATAATCATAAAAATTATATAGATCTTAATTAAGAGGTTTGTAAAGTACTTCAGCTTGTCGTTCTGTTTACAGCTATAGGTAATATCCTCCGAAAATCTTGTTCCAGTATCAGCTAACAAAACTGGAAAGTTTGTTTAGATTATTGTTCTGCTAGATAAGATAAAAGCTGTGATAACATTGCACAGTGATCAGCCTGCTTACAGATACGGACACCGGCTTACGGCTTACCCCGGAGGCTGCAGTCTGTGTGCTGGGAGAAGTGGTTTTGCTGCAGTCATCCGAGTTAGTAGAAGACGTGGATGTTGGAGTCATAGGAACCGCAGTAGTACTGTTACCTGAAAGATTTGGAACTGATATTAAAAACAAATATTTTCCAGCCAGGGGAAATAAAAAAAATTCTTGCAGCTCAACTGTCTTATCTTTTTATATTTACCAGAGCATGCCTTTGACTTATTTATGTTCTTAGGTTTTCGCTTCCTGGTCTGAATTCCTTCTTTTTTCATAGCCAGAGGTCGGGGAACCTGAAAAAAAAAAAATTTCCGCACCGGTCACAGAATTATAGAAGTGATTTAATATCAAAAATCAAAATACACTACAAGATCAAACGGTGATGTTGAAAATGACTGTATAGCAAGTCAATTTTTCCTACGTCACAGTACTGATTCTGAAAACCTTTGCATTTTATTTGGGCAAAGAAATGGCTTGTTTCAAGGGGGTTTTTAGCTGAATAAATACAGCAGGGTAACTTTTTTCTTGATGTGAACCAAACAGTTTTTCCGACACCTCAGTCAGTCCAGAGTTAAACAGCACACTTTTAGGGAAAACCAGCATCATTTGGCCATAGGTCATATGAAATTAAATTGGATGGGGTGTATCTGATCCCTGATTCACTCTTCCAGTCAGTTAGGAATTATCTTCAGTGGCTGATTCTGGAAAGCAAGCATGCATATGAGGGGAAAAAATGCTCCTGTTCCTGTGGACCAGCTACGCAAACCAGATCATTGACGATAAGTGTCTTAGGACAGAAGCTTTAGGACACAGTCAGCTTAGTATTTGTTCTTATGAGCAGTTCTGCCTGTGATGCAGATTTATAGTATCCAAATTTGTATTTATAGGGAAAATGTGCTCAAAAATCAGCTTTATGTTCTGTGTCATCACAGTGATAATCATTATACAGAAAACATTGGCTTAAAATACATTTTAACTTAATGATAACATGAGTTTGGAGAAAGACAATTCAGGCATATGCTTACGATCATGTTTAAACTTGTGATATAATTTACTTTTTTTCCTGAGGACTAGACCAAGTCCCGATCACTCCTAATGCCCTCACTCTTCAAACACTTGTGCTCGACCGAAGCTTAATCCACAGGGGCACAGCAGTCTCCAAGCCTCACCCAAAACATACTCCGTCACATTCAGGATAGAGCTGTTTTCTTCCTCTATTATTGCCTAGCAAAGGCTGGAAGGACACTTTAGGTTTTGCTGTCATAGCTATGTCTGTCCATGAAAAACTGTCTTATTAAAGGTCTAAGGGTTTTTTTTCCCACTGAAGAGCTGGTTTAAATTCCGGTGGCAAAAAGATCTCTGTCACTCATCCAGAGGTGGTTTCTTTGTACAAATGTGTTGGGAGAGCTACAATGGCAAACACGTAACTTGTCAAAGGCATTACTGGTTAAAACAGCATAACCATTTTCTAATGCCACAGATTTTTTGATCATTTTATCCATTTTTTTGGTCAGTTTTTAACTCTGCACTCCAAACCACAAGCTGAGACAATTTGCACCAACAGAAACTCTGCCCCAGCTTGAGGAAGCCCGATGCCACCCCCCGAAGCCACCGGGCACCTGCTGGCGGGATGACCGCCCCTTCCCCCAAGGAGCATCCCAGCCCGGGGGGCATC